CCCCCCCCGGCCCGAAGCTCCCAGCAGTTTAATCAGCCAAGCTTCCCCAAACTCTCACAGCCTGCACGGGCTATTGTTCCGGCAGGAAAAAACAGGCAGGCTCCTTTCATGCGCTGCTTTATGGGGAGCTCCTATTCACTTGTTCAAGCAAATTTCAAAGCGGCCTGCTACCCTCTTATCCCCTCTAAGCTCCCCTAGACTAACAATAGGCTGAAAGCGATTCAGTTAAGCCTTTCATCCACCATGCACTTTATTTCTCACTCAGTGCTCTCATCTGTATAAGGCCTACAATTGGCATTGCTGTGAAGAGAGGGTATAATCCTAGCCCTGTGAATCCCAAGTGACCCTACACTGGTCCAGAAATGACTAACCCAATGAATGCTCTGTTGACACATGATCACATACAACCAGAGCCAGTAAGAAGAAATAAAGAAGTCACCCTATGATTCAGCTCTTTTATTTAATGCCAATATTGTTCAATAAGGGAATCTGGTGGGACAACAAACTATTTTTTTTTCCGTAATATCAGTTCAAAACACACATGTGCATTAAAAAAAAAAGCTTTTGTTTATGCATCAAGGATTTATTTTTTTAAATCCTGTTTTCCATTGTGCATCATCATGCAGCACTGTTGACTTTAAAAATCCAGAACGCAAATCTTTCGGAAGAGGGCACGGTAATCACTAACACAGCTGACAAGAGGCACTGAAGAAGTTTCACTTGTGAGACTGAGATCTTGGATACAGCATGCGGTCTAACAGACAAGTTGGCTTTTCTGGAGGACTCATATTCAAGTGAAGATCGTGACATAGAAATTGAAACACCTGCCTTCTATCCAGCTGAAGAAAGCGGTCCTTAAGATTATAAAGTGAGTCTTGCTATCCCTTCCATGCCCAGACATAAAAGTGCTATTTCTCTCCTGCTAGAGGTAAGGAAACTGAGGAAGAATGGTCAAATGGCTTATTCAAAGTCACAGGCTCTTCAGCAGAGTCAGGAGGAAAAGGCAGATCCTGCAAGTCCTAGGCGCAACCACAAAACCATCTCTCATCCCTAAGCTCTGGATACACTCAGACCTGGTCCATGTAGTGCCACTCAGACAATCCTTTGAAGACTGCCCCAGCCACATGAGATGAGCAGCTATTTGCCCCTTCAGGTCACTAGCCCTACTAATGTATGTTCTGACATTAATGATGAATCTTAATTACAGAAAGTACTTCCTACAGGAAGTAATCTCCTCCTCTTTGATGACTGATAAATAGTTAAGGAAGCCTCGCCTTAAGACAAAAGGCACAGAGAGATAGATGCTCCTCAGGCTGGTCAGGCATCACTATTAGCATAGGGGAAAACATGTTTGCTCAGCTGCAGTTGCAAAATGGCAATAGAGGGATTCATCCACTTATTCCACCCAATAGCTCTGTGAACAACAAGGCTACCAGCAGTCCTCAAAGACCCTGACACAACCCCTCGGTTCAGGTTCAGACTTCAGTTTCAGCAGCCCACTAGTCAGTGGCGAGCAGAAGTGCAGTGACAACCCAGGAGCCATCACTCCAGCAAGCCACCACTGTTCATCGGCACAGTTAATTTGCAGATGGCGCATTTCAAAATGACTCGGCCAACATGTGATACTTACACACTGCTGTCCGTCATCGACATGGAATCGTCAGTCAGGGCATCGCTAGATATTTCGCTATCGTTTGCGCTAGTTGCTGGGGCAAAAACATAGCCAGAGTTCACATGGTATGGGTTAACAGGATCGTTCCTCTTGAAGGACCTAGGGACAAACAAAACAGGAACGTAGTTATCAGTCATTCTTGAACCAGAGCAAAAGCACACCGGTTTAATGGTAGCACTTTCCTTAGGAGAGCCACACACTGGCTGCTCAAACCCTGCAGAAGCAACCATCCAGCGCCAAGGTCCAGGAGCCCACGAGCAGCTTGTGCGCGAGCAGACCACGTTCTGTCTAAAACCTCCCTAAGTCCAACTTGAAAGACAGTGCTTTTGGCATTGGAAGCACGCTTCCAGAAAATCCCAGGAAGCATCTCCGCCTGCTTTGATACCTTTGAAAACTTGGTCCTTCAAGCTTGATGCTGCACTGCCGAGGCCAGCAGGAGTTTTACTGTTGATATCAGCAGGCACAGGATCAAGAAGTTCATAGCTCAAGTCCCACTGAAAGCCATCAAGGCATCAGCTAATAAATGCTAAGTCTACTCTGAAGACAGGAGTTAGGGCCCCCTTGGGAAAAAAAGTTACTGTATCTGTGTTGCCTGAAACAAGAGAACTGCCTGAAACTACTGGAGTAGGACCACCAAGCGTGCGAGTGAGCACTGGCAAAGCTTAAACCGGCTATTTCAGGCTTGGCTTCCCAAAGATGGGTGCCATTTTTCTAGCTTTACAAAAGAACAATAAAGAGGCCCAAGCTTCAGCAGAACCTACTACTTGTTCCATTTGTATTTTTTTAGCTTTCGAGTTAGGATGGGGGGAAGGGAGGATGGGGGATGTGAAGGCAGGAGCAGCAGGACGGGCTGTGGGTGGCACTCCAAGGAGGGGAGGTGACAGCGATCTGCACTAACAAGCACGCAGGTCCCCAACACCAACAACCTCAGCTTCACCTGGGGAAACAAACCCAAAAGGCCGGCCCAGAGCCGTTTCGCCCCAAGCGGCCCCAGAAAAATTCATGGGCGAACCGGAAAGCTGTGACGAAAGGTGGCAGGGGTCAGCAGGCGGGGGACGGCGGGCGTCCCCCCACCCTGCTCACACCAAGGGAAATTACTCTGCCTTCTGCAGCCAGCACCAATAAACATATCTTCGGTGTGTGATAAGGGGATTACGCCGGGAGGCTGGAAAGCCGCGCGTTAAGGTGCGTGCTTCGTTCCCGGGCGAGGCGAAGACGGGGGCTGTTAAGCCTCCCCGTTTGTACATCAAAGCGAAAGGCCTTGTCATCTGATAAGAGCCGCTGGTTTTAATAATTAGGGCCACTTCCCCTGAACTCGGGGGCCGCAGGAACGCGCCCG